ACCTACTATTAAAAACTAGTAAAGCAATCACTGCTGAGACTTCTTTGGTGGCTCAGAGGTAAAAAGCTGCCTGCCACCACAGGGGACACGGGTTCGATCCTGGTCCAGGAAGATCCCACATGCTGTGGGCCAACTAAGCCCATGCACAGAAAATGCTGAAGCCTACCCGTCCTAGAGCCTGTGCTCCACAAGAGAAGTCCTCCCATGCTGCACCTAGAGAAAGCCCAGGGACAGCAACAAAGACCCAGCAGAGTCAAAAATAAACAAACAAAATTTTTAAAAGGGAAACAAAAAATAAATCACTGCTGAAAAGAACATCCTAAAAGCCACAACTGCATATTTCACTTTCCTTCATTTAAGTTGTGGGCATCCAAGGAATATAACTTCTTTTCCTCTTTGGATTCTAAATTACTGAACTTGGAAGACCTTTGAATAAACCCAAAGTGTAAAACTAACTTCCAGCAAAAAGAACTTTTCAAACTCAATATTAAATCATCATATTTACTAAGATTTGAAAATAATACGGAGAAGTGTAAGTATTTTGAGCCAATCTGAGATTTTAAAAGTTAAGTCTTATATCCACATGAACTTGCTATAATATTTTTATTGGTAAATATAATATACTTGGACACAAAATACTGTTAAAATCACCAGGTTTGAGGGGCCTTCATCTATATATGCCCTATTTCAACATGTTTGACTGTGACAATGGAACCGATTTAGACACTGAACACTAATCTGCTCATAAATTCAATCATCATGAAGTATGTTTAACTGTGCCCAGATATCACCAAGTTTACACTGAGAAAAATACCCAATAATCTCTGGAAGGAATGTTAAGGTCAAACACTAGGCAACAAGGGCGTGAGGCAAATTTGATTTTACTTCATGTCAAAAATAAGTACAAAGACAGTGACTCAGAGCTGATTTTACACTGTGACTAATCTTAGACCACCATAAATTAGAAGTTTGCAACAGCTATAAAACTGCTTCCATTCTGAACAATGAATCTCTAGTTCTTACTAATGTCTCATCTACAAACAATTCATGTGAACCCAGATAAAAGCAAATTATTTACCTCATAAATACAATTACATATTAGGTCTGAAAATTAATCTCAAAGACAAATTATTTAAATATTTTTGAAGCAGCAATTAATACTCATATTTCACATGAATGACTCTCCTTAATTGAAAAAAACTTTTACATTTACTGTGGAGAAAATATCTATACTTTTGCCTGATGGAAATGTGGACATAATGTATCAGAGTGGAGTAAAACCCTTATGAAAAATCGTGAATTTCATGAGAATATAATTCATTTCTTTCTTTTACAAAAATTTGAGTGCCTAAAATGCCCATGTCTTTCTGCTCTGAACTGTTAGTAAAACAAAGACAAGTAAGACAGTCTCCACAAGCAAAGAGCATACAAAGAGTGGAATAGAATGGTTCTCAAATTTCAGCACTGTCTCACCCACCTATCTTGTTTAAATGAAGATTTGTGAGTTCTATTTTCTAAACTCTGATCCCCTAGGTCTAGAGTAGGGGCCTCAGGGATGTACAGGTATGTTCTGATGCAAGGAGCTGGAAGTCCAAACTTTGAGAAACACTGTCTTTAGCAACAAGGGAGTACAGAATACTTAGTACAATATGTCTAATACCTGCCTAATTCATTGGTTTAGAATTCTGGCAACCTCCATTCATGTGGTCTTTTAATCCTGAGTTAAAATCTAATTCAAACCTTTAATTAAAGGATTTTTTTTTTTTTTAACAAAGACCCATCCTTAAGTTCAGGTGGCTCTACACCAAGTGTACATACTTTGATTATGTGTCTCTTTTCACTGAACTTCTTCATTCTTATAACTGTGCAGCCACTTTGAGTACCAGTGGGATCAATCGTAATGAGTCCTCTGTCTTGTTTTCTGAGTCTTAAACCCCTCATTTATCTCAGAATTTCTGTCCTGTCCTTTGCCCTTCCTCTAAGACCCAGCTCCCACTCAATGATCAGGACCATTTTACCTGGTACTAGACCACCCTGGTGGAGACCATCTGCCTGGATGTGAACATATTTCCTTCTCTCAGGCTCTGTTTAGTGATGATCTGCTGCCCACCCACTGAGGAAACACCTGCCACCCCTTTCTGGATCTCTCTGACTGTTTGCCTGTCCTCTCTGCTACAGATCACCCGCCATCAAAATTCCTAGGTCATCTAGTCCAGTCATTCCCCAAATTTACAGAGTCGTCAGAGAGATGCTTAAAAGTATAGACTGTTAGGCTTCGTCTCTTGGGGGATTCAGCCAAGTCTAGGGTGAAGCCCAGGAATCTGTAGTTTTAATGCTTAGCATATCATTAAAGATTTGTGCCCAAGAGCAAGTAAAACTTCTGGAGTACTCTGGGCCATCTCTAACACACATCAACTTTCATTATCACCTCTGTGCCTCAGATACTTAAATCTACACATTTAATTCTTATCCTTTAGGAAAAACAATTCAAACACCAGCACATAAAGGTTCTAGATTGTATGTTAGAGCCAATTCAATCAAAGTAAGTAGGTGGAGAAATGGTACTGATGGGCAGGCTGGATAAAATGGGTGATAAGGCCACTTTAGGGTATTATTATAGGAAGCAGCAAGTCTGAAATTAAATGGGGACAGTCAAGTTGAATAAGAAGGGGCAAATGGCAGAGATTGAATTGATAAGCCCTGATTATATGTAGGAGAGGTGGGAGGAAGAATCACACAAAAATATGAGGCTTTGTCCACAACTGATTGTAAAGAACAGGTATAGAAAAGTGAGGAAGAAAAGGAGAATTCACATTACATGAATTTCACTTTGAATATCAATTGGGTTCATGGGAAATAAATGGGAAAACAGTGGAAACAGTGTCAGACTTCATTTTTTTGGCCTCCAAAATCACTACAGATGGTGATCACAGCCATGAAATTAAAAGATGCTCTCTCCTTGGAAAGAAAGTTATGACCAACCTAGACAGCATATTAAAAAGCAGAGACATTACTTTGCCAACAAAGGTCCGTCTAGTAAAGGCTATGGTTTTTCCAGCGGTCATGTATAGATGTGAGAGTTGGAATGTAAAGAAAGCTGAGCGCTGAAGAATTGAAGCTTTTGAACTGTGGTGTTGGGGAAGACTCTTGAGAGTCCCTTGGACTGCAAGGAGATCCAAACAGTCCATCCTGAAGGAGATCAGTCCTGGGTGTTCATTGGAAGGACTGATGTTGAAGCTGAAACTCCAATACTTTGGCCACCTCATGCCAAGGGTTGACTCACTGGAAAAGACCTTGATGGTGGGAGGGATTGGGGGCAGGAGGAGAAGGGGATGACAGAGGATAAGATGCCATCACCGACTCGATGGACATGAGTTTGAGTAAACTCCAGGAGTTGGTGATGGACAGGGAGGCCTGGAGTGCTGCAATTCATGGGGTTGCAAACAGTCGGACACAACTGAGCGACTGAACTGAACTGACTGAGGGTTGAAATACCAACCAGGGCCTCAGTTGAAATTTTCTAACTATTTGTGGGATTGTTGGTGTGTGTGTATGCATACAAAAGTGTGAGAAATAAAATAAAGTGTATGAGAAAGTAGATTAAATTGATGGAGCTATGTTTTAGAAGAGACATAAGTTTGAAAAAAAAGTGAACAGTTAGATTCCTATAAACAGAAAGGTAGTGACATCCCCAAGGGAGGATATTTTGAGATATAAATAAAGATATGGGTAAATTTTGAAGGAAAGCAAATCAATATCTTTGATGCTATTAGTAAAATGAATAAGAACATCAAAGATGGATGATAGTGGGGGTAGATTATGTTCTGAGTAAGAGCAGAATTTTCCTATGGAAAATTGATGAAGTGTAAATAGGGATGTACACTGTATAGAAGATTGTAGGGCAGTTGGGAGAGTTAGAAAATAGCTAAACAAAGTAGAACCATTTACATTTTTCTCCAGCACTGTTCATCAGCCAGCATCTACTGAAACAAACAGTGAGGTCCATTCAGAGTAGGGAATACCCTGGAAGATGAGTCACAGTGACATATTTTGAGATGCATCCATCCCAGATGAACAGGGAAAACCCTGAAGTCTCAAGAAATGTTGCCTTAGAAGGATGAGAAGAAAAGGATGCTGACATGGATGCGGAAATCAGAGAGAAGGCACACTGTGTCCTGAAGCTCTGCGGTGTATACCCTCAAAGACAGAAAAGTAGAGAAAACTAGGTGATGCTGATTTCAAAAGGAGAAAAGGGCTAAAAGATGTTTCCAAGATAAGGATCTAGATGTGCCAGAGGTAAACAATTATGTCAACCCCCACGGTTCCCACTAAGGAGGATCTCCAAGGAAGTAGTATTACCAGGAAGGAATCAGGTTTTCATTGATATGAAGAAGTATAATAATTAGAGATGGCAGAAGATGAAGGAGATTATGCTATAGAATGGATCACTGTTGGGGGAGATGAGAGCTTTCTTCTTTGAAGCCTAGAGCTTAGTGACCTAGATATCTTTACCCCAATAATATAAAGATGAAGGCTGTTATGAAGAGAAGGAAATAGAAAAAATTGAGCTGACACTGCAAGTATGGAATTCAAGGAAGCATTAAGAATGCCACAAAAACCAATTTTAAAAAGATATTATATATTTATCCCCTATTTTAAATTATTATAAGATATAATTCAATATTTGGTGTTTATGTAATAAGAAATACATACTTGTAAAACACAAAAGATTTTCTCTTTTTTCCTCCTTTCAATCTCCCATTGCTGTGGAGGTGGTTCAATGTACCACGCAGCTGGTCCTTATGTAACATGTGGGATAAAAAAGCATGTGTTCTATTTTTTAATATTTCTTATACAGTTTTGGACAAATATGCTCTAAAGATTACAACTGTTATTGGCAAACTTAAGATCCAGTCCAGGAACAGTTATGCGTTGCAGGTTAGTTCCCTTTTTCAGTAAATGACTGGCTTCGGGTCAATCACCCGTTACACATTAGTTACCTGTCTCAGGCAGCGTGCTGACGTTGCAGGTCATCTCATTACCTTCACCAGCTGAGGTTGAAGCTCTTATTTCAAAGGCATAAGAGGTATTGGCAAGAAGTTTCATGAATGTGTACATGTGATCTTGGGGAGAGATGTTTGTAGCATTCCTTCCAACTGTTATCGTATAATGTGTAATTATTCCGTTTGCTTTTTTGGGTGGATCCCACTTCACTGAAGCTGACTGCCAGCTGGTTGCCATACACTCTATGTTCTGTACAGCATCTGGAACTTAAGAGACAAGCAAATGCCCAAAGTTAAAATTTATACACATGTAACAGGGAGCCTGGTGGGCTGCTGTCTATGGGGTCGCACAGAGTTGGACACAACTGATGTGACAGCAGCAGCAGCAACAGATAAATGATTTAATTATGTGATTGCTAGATAAAATCATGTTTAGGAGTAGAGACAGAATAAAAATGTAACCTATCAACCTTTCAAGTGTGTAAGCCACTCAGTCATGTCCAACTCTTTGCAACCCTATGGAGTGTGGCCCGCCAGGCCTCTCTGTCTATGGACTTCTCCAGGCAAGAATACTGGAGTGGGTAGCCATTCCCTTCACCAGGGGATCGAACCCAGGTCTCCCACACTGCAGGCAGATTCTTTACCATCTGAGCCTTTGAACATGTGCTCAGAAACTTCTTAACATGGACTGAATCAAATGGCCCATTTTCTATGTAACCATGTTAATCCTTACAATACTGAATCCACCACTGAATATTCTCCTAGGCCCAACTCAAATACTCAGAAGCAACTGGGTAGCCAGCTTCAAGTTCAGGCAGTGGTTGAAGCCTGCCCTATTCATCTTTTAATGGGAAGGAGCAGTCTTAGCCATACTTTATGATGCAATGTTCTAACGCAAAACATCCCAGGTGGCTTAGTGGGTAAAGAATCTGCCTGCAAGGCAGGAGACACGAATTCCATCCCTGGGTCGGGAAGATCCCCTGGAGAAGGGAATGGCAACCCACTCCAGTATTCTTGCCATAGGAAAATCCCAGACAGTGGGGCCTGGTGGGCTACAGTCCATAGGGTCGCAAAGAGTCGGACACAACTGAACGACTAAGCATGCACACATAGATGTGGATGCAGGTGCCTCACCGATGTGGCCTAACAGTACTAGGAAGCATGTAACTAAATTTGGGATTTTGCTTATCTATTCAGATGACTTTTTTGTAAAAATCATGAAGACCAGATCCCTCAGTACTTTAAAAAAAAAAAGACTGAAAATGGAAACCAGCCCCAGTTTTTAATTCAGTCCCAGTTTTTTCTAGAACTTCCCTGAGTTTCCTTGGAAGTAGCCACTGTATTTGGCAGATCTGGTTAAAGAGAAATACCCCAGGCCCACCAAAGTGACCCTGAGAGTGGGTACATCTAGGGAAATGTCTGATTATCTAAATGTCCTGTCATGTTGGCATAGCTTATCTTGTTACAATAAAAAGATGCTGTAAAGAAAATTTGCATATTGTCAGTTTGTGGATTACAAACAACAAGCAGTAAAAAGAAAAAACCTGTCCTTATGGGGAAGCAGAATTATTTAAAGGACATTCAAATCATATTTGACCTGCCTACAGTTCTCTCATCTGGCCTAAATTTCTGTCTTTACAAATCCTTCATCCTCTGTAAGATAAAGGCATCAGAACTAAAGCATAATAACTTAGTGGGGTGTGTGGCATTTAAAGAAAGGATGATTCCTCTGTTGATGCAAGGTTCTGGCAGTTAAATATGTTTAATTATTTGCTTTCTTATTTTCAAAAACATATACCATTATTTTCAAAAGTAAATGAACAAGAGAAGGTTGATAATGTGCTTAAGTTTAGATAATAAACCTAGATTTTGTGAACATCCATTTTACTGACTCTATAAACCTAAAAACAATTAATTAACCAGCAGATATTATAACACGTCAAGTTGAAAATTTTATTTAACCAATCAGGGCACAGGGTTTTATGGAATTATTTTATTTCACTGGTAAAATATATTTATAGGTTTATAGAACACTGTCCACAAGATTAGCCTTAAATTTTATCAATATAATATGTGTGTAAATGGTTTAAATGTTTCTTTTTTCATGGGTTTAGCATTTTTCCATAGTATCCCTAATTTATGATACACATTTCCTATAGTCATGTCCACTTTTCACTAGAGGTCAGAGGCTGATGTTCCAGTTCAGTTTTTTCACTAATTGTCTCAGCCCTTTTCATCTCATCTGCCTGAATCATGGCTTCTTCATCTGAATTATGGGAACAGGGCAACAGTAATATTTTTTGAGTACTTGTGTGTCCAGCACTCTAATAAGTGCTTTATATGGATCTCTTCAAATATTTTTTCATAATAGCCTATGGATGGCTACTGCTAAAATATGTTTCTTTTTGGTTATAGATATAGAGGCTCAGAGGAGTCATGTGCTTTTGCCAAGATTTTACTAGTAAGTCGCAGAGCTTGGATTCAAATCTAGACACTGATTTCAGAGCGTGCACTTTTATTAGCTATAAATACTATTTACTAAGCATGTCTTAGGGGTATGCCATGAAAGCAAAGCATCAGGAATTCACAAATTAATGTGAAATGATTATCAGTGAGTGGTCTACAATTTCAATTTAGGGATTCACTAAATGCATCCAGACCTACAGGGAAGGAAAGACTAGCACAGAATCAAGTGCTTAATCAATTAAAAAAAAAAAAGAGAGAGCGAGGAAGAGATGCCTTTAAAAAATGTGCTTCCAGTTGAAAGAAGGAAAAGTATTAAATCTTTAAATCAGTTCTATATGAAAATTATTCAACACACAAAATTGAGCTATGGTATGTCATGACACACAGGCAAGTTGTTTAATTAGACCAATGGTATTTCATAGTCTTCATAGTCCCCACCACATGTCACAGATGAGCCCTGGAGAAATACAAGCTTACATGCTGATTAGTACTCTTCAAATGTCACAATATATTTTATTGTATATATTGTGACAATATTTTGCACAATATACAAAAAAGTCATAGATTTTTTTATCATGAAGCTATGAATCAACCAGTTAAAAGTGATTAATGGCTTTTCTGTTTTTTTTTTCTCCCAACAATCTCAGGCAGTATTAGGAATTAGGTACTTTTCATATATATCTAGTAGTATACTTTGCTCCTAAACTAGTCTTTTATTTCAACTTCCTGGGTCCAAAATGAAAAAACATGTATAAGTATATATCTATCTGATTGCACACAACAAGATGCAGTCTAGCCTGAAAGCACTAAAATTCAGCTCCTTTGAGTGAACAATTAAATATTGATACTTAGTCACATAAACTGAGAAAGGAAAGGGAAAAGTGTTACATACAAAATCAAACATTTTAGGATCCAAAAACCACGTCTAACCTGATTCTTGGGTTGTGAATTTTACTACGTTACTAAATTGATTGCCATTCCCCACTTTAGTAAAGGCAGTTATGCTGATGGAATAGGTGCTGACTGGTTCCAGTCCAACAAGCTTGGCTTCAGTTTGAAAACCTGAAATATTCTGAAAAGCAGGAAAAATAAATTTTTAGTCAAAATGCATCATCAAAAAACTTATTTATAATTGGAAGAAATATTTTTAATACATAAAAATTATGTCTTCTGTGTTTAACCTATGATTTAATAAGCATGGGTATTTTTAATTAATAATTTAAAAATTAAACAGTTTTTGTGTGTGCCCCAGGGTATGCTCAGATAATCGCACAAGGATGAACTGGACACCCATCAACCCTGATGAGTATAATTGCCATTGGTTTTTAAAGCTGAAGTGTTTTATTTTGTCCCTCTGGTTTTTACTTAGAATCACATATGATTACTTCTTTTAAATTTGCTAAAATTAAAGTCCTCAATAGGAATCCAACTTATGAGCAGTCAGTGGTACTTTTTCTTGAATTCACCAAAATTCATTTTTTAGTTCTCAGTAACATTCCATTTGTAAGCTAATTTATTCCTCAGCTATTATACACTACACACTGGGAATACAGCAGTGCCTGAAACAGAACCTATGCTCCTATGAAGCTAAGCTTGATAAATTATGAGTTTTTCCCAGACAATTCCTAAATTTCTGATTTTATGCAATCTCTTAGGAAAATGAAAAAAACGAACAAAACAATTATCACAGATGTACAAAAAAGGATATGGTTTCTCACTGAAAATTTTACCATCAAATACAAACACTTCATTCAAAGAAGATTGTCCTAACACAAAGAGCACTTAAGATTAATAGTTATCTTATGGGGAAAAAAAGACAACCTCTTATGTGGTATAATTTTAAGAATACTGTATTATACCTGATCTAAAATATAAACCAGTTTGACTTATACATTAAACATTTCAGTGGCAGAAATTTAGCAAGAATACTAACTCTCAGGGCACTCATAGTTAGAATTATATTTTAAATTAATCTCTTACAAGTTATTGATATCCTTTATGAATTCACTGTATTACACAATTTTCTTTCATTCTTTCTTAATTACCATTTACAAAGCACATGGTTAGATAACCAGGAGATTATAAAGATATATATGACATGGTCCCTGTCATCCAGGAACTGTTATATTCATTAGAAAAATCTACCAACAACTATATACGGAGAAAAAATTAAACACAAGCAGATAAGTTTTGACTTGGGTTAGGAAGGGTGAGTGAGTATGCAGAGAAATGACTGAACTCAAGATATTATAGTAAAAAGTGTGAGTAGCTTATTGGATGTAGACAGACTGACAAAGTAAACTGTAAAAGGGAGACATGAGTAAGCAATATTTTCAAACCTATTTTTAGCAGAAATTTTTACTAAATAATTTCTTTCAGTATGTGTGAGTGACCTGACTGGGAAGGCAGGAACATTTGGAGTGGTCCAAGAATTATCATGCCTCCACAGACACACAGATCATTGGAAAGGTAAGAGAGAAAAGGAAGAAAAGAAACTCATAGTTGGGACACAGAGGAAGCTGAAAACAGAAAGGAAAACAGGACAACGCCCTCAGAAAGAAAGGCACACAGTGGGAGGAAAGCAGATACCCTAGATACTGGGAAAGGGAAGAAGATGGCATATGGATACATACAAAGGAATCCGGAAGAAACAAGGCTATGAACATCCATGGAAGACAAAGTAGATGTGAAACAAAAGCAGTAGTAGATTTTAAAGGAAAACTACTCCTCCACCTCCAAAAGGATATATTGAATACTTTATGGTATGAATATTATGTTTCTAAAATAAAAATATTTATAGTGAAATGTCAATGGCAGCATTTCTATTGAGAGAATAGATGTCTAAAAATCTTAGAATATAACTTATATTCAGGTAAAGAAGTACTGTCACTTCAGGTTTAGTGTTATTACAATGCTGAATGAAATTCATTCTTTTGCAAACTATGACAAAAAGAATAGGTAGCATGTTTTCACATACTGGGGATTGTTTTAAATGTTTTATATAGATTTTCCTTTTACAAGCTTTACTTTTTAATGGCTGCATCTTTACAAATCCCATTTTGCACTTGAGGGAACTGAGTCATAAAAGTTAAGTAACTGTCCTAAGGCAGCACAGTAGGTCTTGAAGGCAGGGTTCCAACCATTTGGAAATTACTGCCAATTATTCCAACCAATAATTTGATGCCAGAGTCCTCAGTTCATGACTATGCTAATGGTGTTGATGGTAGACATCTCTGCTCTGAGGGAAAGATCACACATATACATCCACACTTCAATATTCATACGTGTTTGTCCTAGGAATGGCCACATTCCATATTAGTTAAAGATAATAAAAATCATTATTCCTTATGCTATAGCATTACTCACTACTTTTGATTTTTTTATTATTCACTTTGTAAGCTACATATGCTATAAAAATAATTTACCATCAGCAATAAATTATAATGCATATAATACTGGGGACAATGTTTACGCAGAGTTTTTGCATCCTCCATGCTGTAACTGAAAAGCATTCCAGTACTTCATTTGCCTTTGGGGAAAAAAGAACAACTTCTCAAATAAATGCTAGTGTATTACAATATATTTTGGCAATTAAGTGCTATAAATCATACAGGTATATTTGAGATCCTTTGTTACATTAGTTCTTTGGGTATTTTTCATTGATTCTGAAACCTAAAAATGGAGACGTAAAAGGGCCTTTAGAATGTAAACTAATTAGCAGTGAAGGAAAAAGAATAATGATATATCTTAAAAGACCAATTAGTGTGAAATTATACTATATCTGGAAAGGTTACTAGAAGTCCAGGATAAACACATCTCTGAAAAGGTTAAAAATATTCACTTGGTACTTCTTTTAACACTTGGTAGTTTTCCCTTACTTATGGTTTCATTTTCCACAGTTTCAGTTACCTGCAGTCAAGCTCAATTCAAGATACTAAGTGGAAAATTGGAGAGACAGATAATTCATAACTTTTACATTGTGAGCTAGTCTAAGTTGCGTGATGCAATCTCCAGGCATCCTGCTTCATCTTGCCCTGGGTGTGAATTATCCCTGGGTCCTGTCTTTCCTGCCCGCTAGTCCACAGGCTCTTTGGTCATCAGATCAACTGTGGGGTAGCACAGTCTTGTATTCAATACACCCTTATTTTACTTAATAATGGCCCCAAAGTACAAGAGTAGTGATGCTGGCAATTCAGAGACGCCGAAGAGAAGCCGTAAAGTGCTTCCTTTAGGTGAAAAGATGGAAGTTCTCGACTTAATAAGGAAAGAAAAAAATTGTATGCTGAGGCTGCCAAGATCTGTGGTAAAAATGAAGTTTCTGTGAAATGCTGTGAATCGGGGAAGAAGGGAAAAAATTGTACAAGTTTTGCTATTGTATCTCAAACTGCAAAAGTTATGGCCACAGTGTTTGATAAATGCTTAGTTAAGATGGAAAAGGTGTTAAATTTATACAAGAAGATGTTTTGAGAGATAGAGACAGCATTCATCTAACTCATTACAGTTTATCTTAATTTTTTAAATTTTGTTGTTAGTTATGGTTGTTAATCTCTTACTGTGCCTAACTTATAAAGCAAACTTCATCATAGATATGGATGTATAAGAAAAAAACATAGTACATAAAGGTTTAGTACTATCCTTGGTTTCAGACATGCACTGGATGTCTTGGAATGTGACCCTTGAAGCTTAGGGGGATGACTGTAGAAATATATTACACTAAGACAATAACAGGCTATAAATAGTCTGAAAAAATTTACTGTATACTTTTGCAGCATTAACAAAATGGTGTAATTATTTCTTAACTTGAAGATATCTAAAAGTTTTACATTCTAGATTAAAATGCTCTACAAAGTACTTTACTTCCATATCTGACAAACGTTTGCTGTGTTTTCCTCAAGCATCCTTAAATTGTGGGAAACCAAAGAGATTTTTTTCTTTAAAAAGAGATGGCTTTTGTGTTATTTAAAACAGTCCATTTTCCCCCACATGTCAAAATATTTTACTTGAATTTCTAAGTTTTTGAAATAAACATACAGTGTTATAATCAACCTACCTTATAAAATATAGTATCAGTTTCATGTTCATGAATTTTTAAACTATATATTTTAACAATACCGCCTGGAACAGGACTTGGACTCCATTTCAGCCATACAAGGTCTGAAGTGTAGTTGACTAAAGTCAAATTTTGAGGAGGTGCTAAAGGCACTGCAGGAAAACACATTACAAAACTTACATTCATAACATTTTTAGCAGAAAAGTAGCAGCGTGACTCTAGCTTCTGGAAGACACTAGTTAAAGATTTATAAACTGATCGCATTTTAATTGCAGAAATAAAGAGCATAGTTAGTGATGCTTTGTACTTGGAACTCAGAAGTTCCAAAGTAGTTTTAAGCAGAACACTTTGTTCTGAAACTCAAATTTACAATGTTCAGCAAAACAGATGAATAGTTGTCAGCCTGTTACAAATAGTCAATCAAATATCCTTTCATTTTCCATGCTTTTCCTTAAAAAGAGACAGCAAGTGCTGCAACAGTAAAATCATTGGAAGAAACATGGATTCTGGCTTACCTGACTCATCTGTGTAAAAGAAAAGAACACTGGAAGGACCGAGTCCTTTTATAGTTCTTGCTGCAGCAAAAAAACTATATAATGTAAATGGTGAAAGCTCTTCCAGTATTACATAATTATCAGAAGTAACAAAAGAATAATTCTCACTTGGTCCTTGTAAAGTTAAATCATAACTTATTATTGCACCATTTGGTTTTACTGGGGGATCCCATGATAAAAGAACTGAGGTAGAGGAAAGGTTTTTAAAAGTGTTGATTATTGGTGAAGTTTCTGGGACTATAAAAGAAAAAAAGAATATTAAATGAAACAAAAGTGAATTAGTATCAAAAAGAAGAGGCTTCAATAATACTGGGACTTAATTAAATCAACAGGTAATAATTTTAAGAAACTCTAAACCTTATTGTGTTTATTGAAAGGCTAATTACTTAAGAACAAACAGAATCTATGTAGTGATCAGAATAATGTTTTCTAGCAGAAAGCAACATAAATAAGAGAACACCAACTATCTGCGTAATAGGCAATAAAAGGGTCCAGCCTACCATCTTCTTCAGTTCTGATGTGTAGTTGGGCAGTATATGTATCAGAGAATCCCTTTTCTGTTGATGGAGTGACTTTTAATATATAGTCAGTATATTTTTCCAGATTATCAAAATACATGCTTCTCTCATATGTAACTAGAGGTGGTCTCACGTGGCGAAGAGTCTGCTGTGAGCTCAAAGAAACATAGTAGAAGACTAGACCATTTGGTTGAGACGGAGGGCCCCAGCTCACATTTATTGCAGTTGACGAAATGGATTCATAAGTCAGGTTTCCAACAACTCCTTCAGGTACTATGATAGGTAATGTGCAAAATACAAAAATCGTCAGTCACCCTAGGTAAAATTTAAGTAAATTCACAAACCAGAGGCTCATTGCTGATAGGGCAACTACTACATCACCAGCTTCTATGTTGTTTAGATCCACACGTGGTAACATCATCTACTACAAAATACCTTCTAAATAATTACATTAAAATTATGTTCAAATCATTCACGGTAAACCTTGTCATCTCTAATATGTGTGAATTGTTTTATACAATACTCTCTTGGCTTTTCTTTCCTACAAAATGGGTATTATGAGTCTGTGTAGATTTTGAGTATGTGATGGAAATTATGTGTATGAGACTATGAGTGTGCAAGTATGTATATATGCATGTATACCCAGATTTTTAATTTCTTTCTTCTGGAGATTATCCTTATTGTACATATGAAGTCACCTAGGATCTCTCACCAGGAATAGTACACAGCATTTATTATTCATGGTGCCATAATACTGACTGATAAAGCATTATAGGTTGGTGAAAATCTTGGAGGAGATCTGCATTTAAAGAATGCCTGAAATGATGTTGACCACATACTGCTCTAAACCTTTTAGCTAAAACTCCCCAAACTTATATATTCTGCATATTCTATCATAGCTACACTGCTGATCAGTGAGTAAACAATTTGACAGACTATCCCAACAACGGGGAAAGCATTCACTCTTCATACTTAAAGTGTCTGCCAATTTATAATCTTCAAGTAATAAACACGAAATTTTACTCTCAGCAGCAATTTAGGTCAATATCGTTTCTCAATAAGAGACTAGCCTTTAAAAATAAATGGGCCATAGAGACAACCACTAGAAGAAATAGGCAGTGATCCGTGCATCACTGTATTCTCGAAACTGAAACCTAAAAAACAAGAGCGTCAATCATTACAGTTTTCTGAATACTCCGCACAAACAGGATTCTGCAGAATCCACATGAGGAAACTGCCAGAGTTTAAAAAAAAAAAAAAAAAGGTATTTGGGGCATATTAGTCATAAACAAACACAATAAGAACAAAATGCGGCATAAAGTCCTTTGTGAGTTCAAAGACTGAAAAGGAAACAAGCTGCTAGAGAGAGGAACAATGTCACTTTTAGAGCAAATGGATATGAAGTATTGGGAACTCTGTCCACAGATGCAGCAGTATTTTTCACGTCCATAACCGACGGCTGTAATACCTTTTGAAGCAATAAATGTGACAGAACTTTTATAAATGGATGGTAGCAGTTTCCATGAATAGAAAAGGTTGTTACTGTTGTAATAGGTTTATAGCTATATTAATGCATTTTCAAATTTCTCTGACTAGATATATGTGCCTAAATAAAATATAGATGTTATTACCAATACATACAAATAGAAAAAGACTCTGAAAAATTATAAAGTTTTCAATTAATCCTACTAAAGATTAACAAATGCTTTTCATTTACATACTGTCTTGATCTGTGTATACGTGAACTATGCCACTGCTTTGATTCCCATTTCCAACTGAAGTACTTGCAGTTAGCCAAAATGTATAGTAGCTGAATATTGCCAGTTTATCTATTATTGCAGATACGGTCATATTGTCAAAGTCATTGGTTACTTCATGGAGTGTAAAATTCTGAAAAATAAACATATTGTTTTTAATTGTTCAGAATATATTTTTAGTATACATAAGCATTTCAAAGTATTACTCATAGATTCGTTGCCTCACTGTTTTAGTATGTTAATTTTTGAGGAAAATCAACATAGAATCTTTTTATTGCAATAATTAAACTGGAAATATATTTGTACTAAAAGAGGAATCGGTGGTAGCAGTTTCATTAAATTGATACACAGATTAGCAAAGAGTTAAAACTCCAAGCTTAGCTGGCAGTGGGGAAGGTTCAGTGGTGACCTGAGAAGGCTACAATGTGCTGATCAGTGTTCCTTTCCCTTACAAAACATTCAAGTAGTTTTCAAAATTTGACTATATATTTTTAAACAAGTTTTGGAATATTATAAAAATTTTCTTTTTTTCCTTCCTATCAACAATGTAGGAATTATGAAAGTCTCCAGCTCTCTCTCTCTGAGTTCAAATGGTTATAATTCATCTTTCATAAGCCCTTTCTTTTTCTACACTCATGTAGAGAAATAGGAAAGCAGTTGGATACATTCTCACATGAGCGAACAACAAATTTTAAATTCTCTTGCCTGACTCATAGTTATATTTGTTCCAAGCCATTTTATGATAATTAAGGAATTGTGATCATTCCTTCCTTTACCAAATTTTAAATACAAAACTTGGAAAAATAAACTCTAAAATAAAGAAAAATACTTTTAAAAAAGTTGTACGTGTAATTAAATATGAATTAAGTATGAATAATTTTATAATAATATATTTCTATACAGAGAAATCTGAGTCATTCCAATCTGCACGAAGTCCTCAGAGGCCAAAGACCTGTATTCAGTTTGGACAGAAGTCCCATATAAATCATCTGATCACAAAACTTCTCATCCTCTAACTGTAAAATGGGAAGAACCTCTTCAAAAGCCTTCAGAGGGCTTTTGAAGATTAGATTATATGAGGCAAATAAAACAACACCATCTCTGGCATATGATAAAATAAAAGTAATAAACAGCAAAAGGCTAATTTAAATTAATAACATAGGATAATCAATTTGACTAAAATTTATAGTTGGTATAGTTTTGTGATGTATGAACAAACTCAATTCTGCAAAATTTTGTGGTTCTTTGACAGTATGTGGGGTAGTGAGTGTCATAAAAGATCTACTTCAATTTTGTGGTGACTTATTAAGTAACAGACAAGACATTATTAATCTCACACAAAATATGATCTGGGAACTTTAATATCTTCCAACACATATACTATACAGATGGCATAACTGGCTTATATAATTTATCTCTTAAAATATTAATGTAGCCTTTCTATTTTTCTTTGCTATAAAATTTACTCTGATTACGTATGACCCTGATGACAGTAAGTAACAAATTACTCTGAATCACCCAGAATTTATTCATGCTGAGTGTGAGTAAACATGCACAGACATGTAACACATTTAGAACCAGATCAGTTATCCAGATGATTATCCCATTCATCTATTTATTTTGAGGGGGAGAAAAAGTGTTGTGGTTCAAATTATCTAATTAAGGCTTATTCTTTGAGAATATAAATACACTCGGAAGGTATTTAGTAAAAACTTCTCAAACTTGATTAATCAAACCAGGACTTATTTCACACTTTTTAATAAAAGACACTGTGTCAGGGACACAGAGGGGACACAAGTGGGTGAATGATAAAATGGAGAAGAGTTAATATGAAACACACTGGATCACAATCGGAGGAGGTACAAGATGGATTCCCAAGTTGTAGCAAGGAGCTTAAATTCCACAAAGTCAGAAGAAGGACAGATCACTTCACAACCAACTCAAGTGCTCCAAATCATAACTAATTACTGAAAATAATGTTGGTCTGCTATAATTATTTTTATGTTCTGTGATTAAACATTTATTGAGCATTATGATACCGTAGTAGAGGATATCAGGGAATGGAAAGACAAGAGTCACACACAATCCTTTTCTTCACATTGACTGCTATGGGATGAGGGGGTTAAGACAAGTAGCAGACACCAGGAATAGAAAGTAGACTGATGTGTCATGCATAAGAGATACTACAAAGTTCTATGGGAAGAAGAAAGAGAAGGAAGAAAATAGCTATACATCTATCCTGCTACATAATTTTCATCTTGATGATTTCTTCTACTCTACCAATCCAAAATAGAAAACTAAGTAGTGAAGATTTTTATGCTATATTTAACTAATTTTAGAAATAAATTAAAGTACAGATGAACTTCAAGGAATATGAGAAATGTTTTAACATCATTAGCCTGTGCCTTCTTGCAGCTGTTACACTTAAAAGCATTCTTAAGATAACTTAATAAAAGATTACATTTTCTAAGATAGAGGAATTACAAATGGGATCATATTATATACTCAGGTTTGAATAAGGAAGTTCATAAAATCACCTTGAAATTATAGTTAAACTTTTGCCCTTGATTACTTAGATGTGGACAAAGAGAATCAAAACAGAATCAAACACAAGCCATAAAGTAAACTGTAGTAGAGATAAAACCTTTGCTAAGGTTCAGATCTACTGAATTTTGAATACTGAATATTGGTTAAATGCATGAAAAAAAATCTGCAATTAGAACGGCCTGATGACATAATGACAAATTATTAAATTTATAAACAAACTTGGTAAAAATGCACATTAAATTTCCATTTTCCTTCCCCAAATAGAGCAGATCAAAAAGCAGCAGCAAAAATTGTTTGATGTACAGAGTCAAACAAATAAACAGATTGTCCTTTCTTATGCAACCTCACTCTTAGAGGGCCTAGAGCAGAATATTAAAATCCAACCAACCTCTGGACTGTCTTTTACTCACTGCTGGGTAAGGCCTAAGACAGCGTGCAGAACTCTGCTCTGACTATTCTCACTAGCCTAAATCGCACTAAAGCAAGTCCTACTTCAGAGCTTTCTGCTCACAAGAACTAACTCTAGTGGCTAAATGGGTTATTAATCACAAATTGAATTAGGTAACTTAGAATTAATAAGACTCCTCTCTATTCTCCTTCTACTAAAAAGGATACAACGACTTAATAGTGGTCAGAGTAATAATTAACATTCAGTCAACACTTCCTAGTAGTGAGGGACGTATTCTGTAAATGGCCGGCCATTATTTCTTCTCTATCAGTGTTTTCCAAATTATATTCCAACTCTCCGATTCCTGATTCAATTACAATTGTCCAGTTATATTCTTTTCATATGTTAGAGTTCTGTGAAATAGTTAGTTTGGAGAAATAAAGGAATCCAGCTGAAAAACTAAAAATATTTCTCTAAATGAAAGGCACTTTAGCTATTTTAATAACTAGTTTTGTTCATATTTCAGAAAATCTCCATCTGAAAATTATGCAACCCTATAACCTTGCGTATCACAAGTTTAATAAGCACATTTTTGGTACTTTCATTACATCTGATACTAAGTGATAACGATGATGATGATGATAACCCCCTCCTACTAACAATGGAAAATTTTTAGACTTAAAGAAAAGTACACAAATGCATCCAAGCATGAAAACTATCATATACAAACAAAGGGAAATTTTTTTAGCTGAAAAACAATTGAGGGTAAGTGAAACCATCAATTCCCTGCAGAAACAGCCCTGAGGGCCACATTTATATGCAGAATGTTTAAAAGGTGGCAGTTTCATCACTGTTGGTAACACATTCGAAGATGATCCAGAAATGTGTGTGTGTCTGAGTGCATGTCTGCATGCATAGACAGATTAAAATATACTTTTTTCTCCACCACATCTTTCTATGTCAATGGGAGTTTTATAAAATGTCTATACATAATTCTCAATGTAAGATAAGAGACATTTTTTTACTATGCCAAGTCTTTATCAACAGAGCGGAGAGATGTAAATAAAGAAATAGGAGAAAACTCAGGTCTTACCTGAATGAAAGTACCTGAAGTATTTCTGTAATAAATGGAATAATACTGTATAATCCCATTAGGTTTTGAAGGAGGTGTCCAAAAAAGAAGTATTGATGAAGAACTGAGGTTTGAATAATGAACATCTTTGGGAGGATCACTTGGTGCTAAAAAAAAAAAAACAGTTGAACACAAAGTGTACCTGTGTCTCTAAATAATGTCTGAACTGTTCTAAATGTTACCTGTGTCTAAGTTATGACTGTTAAAAATTAAGAATATCTAATTAGAAGTCAGAAATGAAATCTGTAAGGCTCATTGGGCCATCCTCATTAACACCCTACCATAGCAATATCCAAGCAGAGGACAAATGGATTTCTTATTTGTAAAATACTATCCCAGTTCTAAATCATGCAATGCCTTGGATTTGAAAACAACAGTATGACAAGTTTCCAATATAGAATGCATACTATGAAATTGCAATTTAACTCAGCATTTTGAAGTTGAATAATAGAGGACAAAGGCACAGAGCTTACTTCATGCATTTTATTTTGCTTCATGGAAAAAAAAAAGCACTAGGACCTCCCTGGTGGTCCAATGGTTAAGAATTTCCCTGCCAATGCAGAGGACATGGGTTCAATCCCTGGTCCAGGAAGATTCCATGCGTTGCGGGATAACTAAGGCCATGCACCACGTCTGCGGAGCCTGTGCCCTGGGACCCAAGCTCCACAGTGAGAACAGTGAGCGGCCCACACACCACAACTAGAGTAGCCTCTACTCCCTGCAACCTGAGAAAGCCCGTGTGTAGCAATGAAGACCCTGCACAGCCGAAGACAAAATAAACTATAAGTTAATAAAAAAATAAAAAGCACACTAACTGCTAACTAAGTGTTGAGTTTTATGCTGAGTGCATTTACATATATAAATTCATTTACTCATGAAAAGACCCTAATAAGGTAGGTGATATACTATATCCATACAAATGGGAAATTGAGGCACAGAGAGATTAACTAACTTTCCCAATCTCACACAGCTAGAGTGACCAAAAAGCAATTTTGTCTGTAACTTATGACAGATATTAGGCTTAATAAGACATCTTTATATTTAATGTGTTTTTTCTGAATAGGATATTCTTTTACTTGGGCTATATCCATAAGAACTCACCTCCCTCGGGTGTTCGGAAGTTGATAATATTGCTTCTCTTTTCCCCATCACCAAATCTGGTACTAGCTGTTACATAAGCATTATATTCAACATTGTGGTCCAAATCTGAAAACTCTAATGATGTTTCAGTTACATTAACAGTTTTTAATGATGATCTGTCCCTAAGAGGAAAAAAAAATTCTCTGTACAACTGACCTTTAAACATTATATATACATTTTCAGCACAAGTACATTAAAAATAAGCAAAATTTATGCATATTTATTAATCCAGACTAATAGGATAAAGATGCTACTTATCCTGAAATGCTGAAAAGAATGAGTTTCAGAATAATTCAATACATAAGCTTCTTTTGCTTTCAAGTATATTCAGTAGTTCAAATAAGTATTAACAGGATGTTCACATTAGAGTTTGCTTAGACTGAATTTAATAGATCTCCGGGAATTTAGTGTATTCAAAGTAATTATTGTATCCTTTTCATGCCAGTGTTTTAGTTGTTCAAATATTTGTTCTTTTGAAGTGTAGGCATAATCTTATTCATACAGTATATTTATCAAATCCATTTTATAAATATTGTGTAACAATAACATTTATTTCAGACCCAATTCAAATAAATAAATTAAAAATATCTGAATAGCTATGTCTAAAATAATGAGTATGGGTTATTCTTTAATTAGAAGCAAGATTTAAAATAATGGATGTAAAACATAACAAGAAAACAAAAAGTTGAACTAATATCTCTTACTCAGCTAAAATCTTCAATGTATCTAAAATATTACTTTGGAAAAGAAAGTAAATATTGATTCACACTCTTCAAGTAAGTACCAAAGTCCCAGGAGAAGGGGGAAATGTCTAAAGAACATAGTGTTGCTAAGTAATATGGTACTACAGTTCATTTCAGATATGTTACTTCAGATTCCATAGAACTGGATATAGATTAGAATCTAAGCTAAAGAAGATGTATATAATAGTACTGAAAACTGTGCATTTTAAAAACAAATTTATATTTTTAAGAGCAATGCAATTAACTATTAAAGGATTTAGATAAGGAAATATGATTAACATCACAGAAAAGATACATATCTCATGTAATGTAATGTCTTTTTTCTTCTTTCGAAACACTAGGCATCCAAGAGGTAAATGGATACTCCCTCTGAACATAAAATGCTTTTGTTTCTCTACCACTAAAATATATGAATCCTGAATCATTAAGTGGAATAAAAGATTTTAAGTGAATTAAGGGTATACCCAAAGAGATACATTTCAGCCATAGTTTTACCATTACAAAAGCATCAACTCACTCTAAATACAAGTATGGTTATCTGAAAATAGTTGGAAAGCTTACCATAGTGAGAATTACGGATTCAGAATATGCAATTGGAGACAGGCAGGATTAGCCAGGCTATTCAGTGATTTGAAACAGTTTCATCATCCTTTTCCAGAAGCCACAGGGAGAACTGAGTTCTCTCTTTGACTTCTCTGAGACTACAGAATATCTTTTAAAACTTAATGCTGTAAATGTTAGGCTATTAGTCTGAGAAAGATGCCTTGTTGTAGAAACTTTACCCAATTGCAGACTCCTGGACCATTAGAGCATTACAATATAGCTAATCCAGTTCAGATCTCTAAAGCTATGAAATTAGCTAAAGCAACCTAATTGCATTGTCTACTTCAAAAATTTCTCTTCCAGCATATTTTTAATAATATCTGCTGCCTTATGTGACTACCTTCTTGCCCTAATCTTCACAGAAAAATATTGTAGATAAGTATCTGCCTACAATATATAAAGGACTTCCCTTGTGGCTCAGTCAGTAAAGAATCCTCCAGCAATGCAGATTTGGGTTTGATCCCTGGGTTGGGGAGATCCCTTGGAGAAAGAAATGGCAACCCATTCCCATGTTCTTGCCTGGGAATCCCTTGGACAGAGGAGCCTGGTGGCCTATAGTCCATGGGGTCTCAAGAGCTGAACACAACTTGTCGACTAAATCACCACCACAATAAGGAAAACCCCAAGTTTGTTCCATAGATAATACCGAATCAAGGCAATTACTTGGAAAATGCAGGTCAAACAGAAATTTTGTCTTAAATATCTGGGTATTTCAGGAAAAAGAAGGCAGTCTTTATAAATTAGCTGAGTAGCAAAGTCAATAGTCCATCTCAGTTAGCATAGACAGATATAGTATATGCATCTAATTTATCTCCAGAGACAGAACAGTGCTAACAAAAACATTTCAGGTCCTGATAAATCTTGTCTGTTTGGGGTTTGTTTGTTTCCTTTTGGAGTTAATTATGGCTGATATTTGAATCGCTATGGTAGAAAAATATCTGAGCATAAACTTCAATGGAAGCTTCAACTTCTGATACAAGTTCAGAATGCATCTTGAGTTCATAAGAAACGGTTTGCTATTAAACTGAGAATCAGAAGCAGGAAAAGGAGAGAACATTGACACTGTTTCCAAGGATCTGACTTCACCTTCTTTGCTCTTACGCTGTCGCCAGACTGGAAGAAGCACACAGAAACCTCTGGGCCAAAGCCTGAGCTCTCTGCACAGCCGTCTCATGAATAATCCTACAGTTCAGAGGGTCACTCCCTCCCATGCGTGAGAAACCCAGCTCTGATGCTGCTACAATATTTTTTCTCCTGGTTTTAGCTGGTTTGTTTAGTTTAAAAATCTGTTTCGTTCTTATTAGTTTAAAAATATTTTATTTCCAGTTATAAAAGTATGTTTTATATAAGGCTTTCCTGGTGGCTCAGTGGTAAAGAATCTGCCTGCCAATGCAGGAGACGCAGGTTCAATCCCTGGGTTGGGAAGATCCCCTGGAGAAGCACATGTCAATTCACTCCAGTATTCATTCCTGGGAAATCCCATGGACAGAGGAGCTTGATGGGCTACAGTCCATGGGGCTGTAACGAGTCAGACAACTTAGTGATTAAACAACAGCATTTTATATCTTGATTTTTTACTTATGTTAAGAACAATAATCTACATCATTATTTTTTTCTAAGTTGCTTAATTTGGATGTGTCATAGTTCTTCAGCCTCCCCTCTATAAATTAACATTTAGGCTGTTTCTCTCCTTTTGCTTTAGTTATTACTAACAATGATGCAGCAATCATTCTTATTCAAATATCTTCCCATAATGGTACTTATATTTCTACAGGTTAAATTCCCAATAGTGTGACTGAACCAGATGGGTTTTTAAAAAAAATTTTTTTTAGTGATAAGTCATTATGATTTGGAGTCACAACAACAAATGGGCAAACTTTCACCACTAGTCTGTATAGTAATCTTAATTTCTGCAAGTTTAATTGACCAGAAACATTTAATGTGCACATCTCTAACCATGAGTGAAAAAGAATTATCTTCTTATTGGTCATTTGCAGTCCTAATTTTGGAATAACTTATTTACAAATTTTCTTTTATATCCTTTTAGTCCCTTAAATGGAAAACAGCATATGTTGAGGAGTTAGGGAGACATTTTTCTTTTAGATAGTGTTCCAAATGAAGAGATATCTTCATAAGGGGAATCACATAAGGGGAATCACATATTCCCCACCCTTTCCATATTTAGTAATGGTATATATACAATCAATAGTCAACAAAATTATACAGCACCTATTTTATGTCAGGAGTGATGTTAGATGTAAATGAGAAAGGGACAGGCTCTACCCTCCAAATAGACAAAGCAGTAAATAATTAAACAACAAATTCATTAATAACAATAGTTTCCCCCCTATTAGCTAAAAGCAGAGAAAAAAGAGAAAGAGATGAGTGAAGAAATTAATTGGGACCAAAGAGTAGAAAAGGAGAATAAATCACAGCCTCCAGAGTTGCAGAAAATGTTCACTAGAGAGCAAGTTTGTAAGATTTGAGAGTAGAATAGGGATCTGAGTGAGACAGTGGGAGGAAGAGAGAAGGCCCACTTGACAGAGCAAGTCTAACTCTTATGTATCCAAAGTCATAAACTGTATGGAAATGGAGGGAACATAAATGGTGTGCAATACTTAGAAACCAAACCTCTCACATGGTGCAGATTTTCAAACTGAGGGAAAAAAAAAACAAAACTCTTGAGAGTGTTGAGTGCTATCATTTTACTGATTCAATTCTGTAAACTAGAATATAAATTAGAACATTTTAAAAGCCTTTTTGAATGAGAAATCAAAAGACTTTAATGACTGAAATTATTCTGAATAAATATAAAACTATTCTGAATAAATTTCTATTCATCTGCACTCATTGGTAACAAGAAAGTGTCTTGAGATGAAATAAATGGAGATTTAAGACAAAGTTATTTCCTAGTTAAATTATACTTTTCAAAAGACAGGCCACATTTTTACATCAGAGCATAAAGGAAATTCTAGAGCTTAAGAGCAGTTTCTTTGCTCTGCTTTACCAATTCCTTTGCTCATTTCTTATCACATCAAGACTATGCCAAGCACCAATTACCTAAGAGGAATCATAAATACCAAAACCATATAGAAAGATTTAAACAAAATTCCCTATTTTACCAACTGTGAACATGAATGGTTTCCTAGACAAAGTTGGAGACTCTTTGAAAGGTCATGGTCTTAATTCTAAATTTCATAATTTGTTATTTTGTTCCATGTGGGCAACCAAGCCTAACAATGATACATCCATTCCTATACATTCCTATGAACTTATTATAAAAACTTTAATCTGCTATTATCTAAATATTCTACATCAATCCTTTCACTCGCCAGATACCATTCCTCAAAATAAAGAATTTCAATGCATTTACTTGACTCTATCAAATAATTTTCCCCCTCAAATGAACCAGCAATTTCACTAATTTTCCCACTCTAAGGACACTGGTCTTCTATGTTGCACTTACTCTAGAATCTTTACACAGCTGAATTGTATCACTAGGTTAATAATGATCAAACTAGCATGGCATAAATAGCTGCACATCTATGATCCTAAAGCTTTTCTAGAATCTCAGCAAAAGTCTGAGTCTCAGTGGGGTATTCATTTATTGTTACTCTTACTCCCACTCTCAACATTTGGTTAGCTGGTTGATTTCATTTGATTTGGTTTGACTTTGTTTTGTTTGTTTGCCTTTATCAGAAAAGACCCACTTATAAGATTAGAAGAAAAAGCCACTATGGAGAATGAGGTTGAAGCTCATTTATGCACTTATAAAC